ACACTACACTAAACACAAGTAATTATTTAACCAATTACCCCCCTCAAAAATGCAAATCAGTTAAAGTGTAGTTCACAGTTAAAGCTTCAGAAACTTTAGTAAAACCAGGTATAGATTCTCACACAATACACAAATAGACAAAGCTAACACATACAAATGGTAAATACAATGTAAATAAAAATACATAAAATTTTGTAAATAAAAGGGACTAAAACACTGGATCTTATGGAAATCTTAAAAATGCATTAAGTAAAAAATGAAGAAAATAGGTAGAATAACACCAATGACTTAAAATACATTAAATCAAATCATAAAACCCGATCTCTCTCAAAAAGGGAACTATACTCAAATTGGAATTTTCCCCAATTAATGTTATAAAATATTTTCTCCCACCTACTTAGCATGCCTTTATGGTGTAGTAGTCACCCACGTTTGATGCACATTCGAGAGATCCACGGTTTGAGATCTGGCGAGGGCATTGCACATTTTTCATGTCTCCTGCTTCCAAATAACCTATGTCTCTACAATGTTAATAAAGTTAAACTCAAGGAGTTAAAATATCTCTGGTGAGCACAGCTAAAACTAGGGCACTTTATCAAAATATGTGTTGCAAAGATAATACTACATTACAACTTGTACAAAGAGGAGCAATCTCAGCTTTTAGCAAATACTGGTGTGTGACCCTTACTTGAGTTGAAAGAACATCTTCCTTCATATTCTTGGCCAAACCCCAGCTCTCTATTGTAGGTTTTATTCTTTATAATTTATTAAATTATGAAGCATAAAACCTCAATGGCAGAAGATTTGGGACAATGAGACTCCTAAATCTTCTGCCATTTATTTAGGCTTCTCTTCTTGGCTGTCTTTTTTTTTTTTTAAACTGAAACAGGTTGGCTTGACATTTCGATAGCATTCTTTGCCATTATATCTGCTAGTTCATTCCCTTTTATGCCAATACGTCCCAGAATCCAGCAATAAAGAATTTTAAAACCTCAACTTTTCAAATTTGTCTTTTGATTCAAAATTTCAACAAATAAAGCATTGTCTTTATCAGAAGAAACTCTCAGACATTCTAATGCATTGGAAGAATCAGAGTAAATGATGAATTCTCGAGAACGCTGTTTAGATATAAAACTTATTGCATAATAAATAGCTGTTAATTCTGAAGTGAATACACAGCAAACCTGGTGAAGCTGAAAACTGACAAAACAATTCTGAATTACAAAGACCGAAGCAACATACTGTCCAGCCTTTGAACCATTGGTATATGTTGAAGAATATCTGTTCTACTTACTTCTATGTCCAGCAGAGTTATCTGTAAATGACCCCACTTGCATTACTTTTGTCAAACTGACCGAAAACATCAAGACGATACACTGATGCATCATACACAACAAAGGAAATTAAAAATAATTTATTATTTGAACACTGATCCCAGATATGCAATATTCCTCAACAGAGAACGAATCCTCAACGTAAAAAAAAAGGCACACATAGATGACATGCTTTGGAATAGTAGGTCATATGAATAATTGAGCATTAGAAATCAGACAGGATGGTTGTGTCAGTGAGTGGATTCATAAATTATTGCTCCATAATCAATTTGAGAATGGACATGAGATCTGTAAATGCAAAACAGGAAAGACAAATCTGTTTTTCACATGATTTCCTCAAGTTAGAAATATCATAGAAAAATTTAACTTCTTGTTGAATATTATACCTAAGAACTTTGACTATGCAATGGGAATTAATGTACCTTCCAAACAGAATTCAGGGTGTGGATGTTGATTTCATTGGCGCAAAAATCAACACTATTGTCCTCTGGTTTGAAAATGTGAATCCATTACATTCTGTCCGCTTACTAATTTTATTCAGAGCCTTTTGCAGTTATCTCTCAATAAAGAGCATGTCTGCACCTTAACAACTCATTTGTAAGTTATCAACATCATACATACAGAGGTCACTCTAAAATTTTTCATATATGTGCAGATAATAAGTGGCAGAAAAATATTAATGATTAGATATGAAAACATGAACAATTTTTTGTTAACAGACGATTTTTTATTGGCCAATTGCAAGCAGTTTAGTGCAGAATAAATTTTACGCAGAAGGAAAAATGGAGTTGGCATTTATGAGTGGTGCAGCCTGCTTTGTAGGAAAGCTTTCTTAATATCGGCAGTAACATCAACTGCATTTTGTCCAAATTGCGTCAAAAGTTTTGAAAGAAGGCAGGCATTCAAAGAATTCCCTTTTCCATGCTTTAAAGATGCATTGAATACAGGTCAGACTTGAATACTTGATGACATAGACAGTGACCAGTTTTACTATTATTTCGAGCTATTTCGATTATATCTCCTTGTCCCAGCTTTTAATAATACAATCCAAAATATTCCATCTTTTGAAGTGTTCATGTATTAATGAAAAGTCTCTTTTTTGCTTTATCTTTATTATCTCCTAGAATCTAATGACTATCCTTTAAAGGTAAACAGACTTCCGCCCTATTGTCCTTGATTAATTTGACTTTTCTCAAAAGAATTTGATGGTTTCAGTACTTAAATTCTCTTTGGTCTTCACTTCTGCCCAATCTTTTATTCCAGTTCTATCTAAATTGCACAGTTCTGTGAGATCTAAATAGCAAAGTATGATGGTTGGTAATCAAGGTAGTGTGATTTTGTACCGGATCTTGTAAGGTACAACCCAGTTTTGTTTCAAAAGTAATGAGCTTTTTTAATGATTGCATAATCGGCTCTTAATTAACAATCCGATTTTTGGAATATCTCTACCAGAATCATTGAATTTGATTTTATGTTTTCGAAATGAGGAACATATATGTTTGAATTTCACTCTAGGAATATATTCACAAATTTTGTCTTTATCTAAAACTGATTATTCATACTTCAATCCAACTTCCATATTTTGTAACTCAATATCCAAAAATATCATGGACCTGAAATTCAATTTCTACTCCTCCACAGAGATTGTGGCTCAAAGTCTCTTGATCTAATGGAACTAAATCTAGCCTCTTTATAGGAGCATTGTGACCCACTGTCACACTCATACAAGACACATATCATTATATTTTTTGTAGCAGAGATGTTTCCTTTTTTTTTTTTTTTGGCTAGACGAAATTCAAAAAATTTCACTCATTTCGTTAACTAATTTAGGTTGTTTTTTTTTAGAATGTCTAGTTCTCCGCAAATCATCATTACATGATTTGTTACAAAAACATTTCACAGAACTTTTACACTTTTGGGGACCATGATCAATTTTTAAGCAGTTGACACAAGCCTTTTCTTCCTTAGTAAAGTTTTCTTATCTTTCAATGAAAGGTTGTGCAGCTTAAAGCACTTATAGGCATTATGTGTTTAGTTATCACAGCAGACACAAGAATGAAACTGTTTCTTCTTTGAAGCATCATGCATAAATACGAGCTGCAGTGGCTGGTACCGATTCAACTTTAGAGCAGAAAAACTTGTATGCGCCAACTGAAGAAGCTCCTCATTTTCAACTTCAATCCAGAGAAAATGTAATAAATTTTCCAAATTCTCAGTGTGTGCGACACATTCCTTACGCTGACCAGATCGTTACCATGCCCTCAGGATTTCTTCTGGTAATGAACACTCTACAAGGGCACAGCTACAAAAATCTCACTTTTTACTCCCAATGGCCCCAAATCTCCGAGTTGCATCCCTAACTTATCAGTTGGACAGAGTCATACATTTTTCTTTGGCAGCTTTGATAGTTTGTGAACAGATTTCAATCAGTAATTCATCACGTAAAAATCAGGATTTCAGCTGTTTGATAGCTTCTTTATAATTCACTCCTGAGGGAGGATAACTACCTATGAGCTGTCTCACTGATGATCCAACAACAGTAGCCTGTAACAGGTACTGAAATTTATCGTCATCTATATTTACATCTTCGTAGATCTTCTTAAAACTTTCCCCAAAATACTAATCAATTTCAGGTTTCTCCATTGAATTTTTGAAGCTCCAATTTTGGTATAAATGTGAGCTCAATACTTGGAGTTGATCAAGATCAATCTCCATGTCAACCTTTAGAAATTGTGCTTCTAAATAATTGGTGGGAATTGTAAATGAATGTCTTAAAGACTTATGCTTTTGCAATAAAACTTCCATCATTTAAAAATAAATATGTTCCAGGATATATAATCAAAAATTATAAAACTCACTCGATAAATTCCAATATGAAATCGTTGCTTCATTTTCATCAAATGGCCATTCTGTCCTGTCGCGTATGCCAACTATTTTAAAATCACTTAGATTCTTAGTTTATTAATGTAAACAAATTACACAGTGAAAACCTTTTTAATTAACAATGGTAATTTTATTTAGCACTTACACATACCCACCGAACATCATCAAGTACATTATACCAAGCAAAGCCTAAATATAAACAAAAAAGCTACTGCCACAAAAAAAAAAAAAAAAAAAAAAAAAAAAAAAAAAACATTATAGTAAACATTAAATTATGTAGTATTCATTGAGTTCATGTTCCTAAGCAATTACTATTCATTGTTCATGTTCCTTACAGCAATACATAAACAAGAATTTGAAATGCAGAATCTGAAATAATAAAGAGATAATCAAGTGGTAGTATGATTAATAGCCCCCCCCCGAAAAACCCCCTCTACAGAATGAGATAAGAACTGGTCAAGAGTATCAAGAGTAAGTTTACATGCACATTGAGTAACTCATCTATCTATATCTGGAGCAATTTTATTCTAAACAGCTCTTTCCAAGATAATTTTTTTCATCTTTTCAATGTAACTTTAACCCAGGAGCATATCACTTTTGCTGATGGTGTTTCATGCATATTTCAAAATAAAATTCAGTTTTTCAACAGCAAAAGTAATTCTTTCACTTATATGCTTCTATCTTATTTTAGCAAATACACATACACACATACATACAGAGCTTCTAAACTAATATAAAATACATTAAGGGATGACACAACACACAGCAACAAATATTTTTCACCCATGAATGTATGCTCACAAGTGCCGTAGTTGTACACTACAGGATGCATTCCACTTTGGTACACACACAATCAGCTGCAAGGAAAAAACAGGACAAGCATGAAACATGAAAACAAAGCTTTAATGTAGATACATAAACATCATTAATTGCTTGACAAAACAAAATAATACAATTCGAATTGCATAAATTACAGAATAGTACAATGAGGTACAAAATACAATCAAACAGTACAAAATTACAATCAAAAGGTACACATCATCAGTAACAACTTAAATGAAGTACACCTATAAAATTGTTCAAAATAGCAAATGCTTAATTTTAATAAATGCCTTGCATTATTTAAGGATTTGCACATAGTTCAGAAAATGGAAAGCCTGGCAACAAGATTCTTATTGGATTCAGTGATGATCTCATAAATGAGGGATAAAGATACTGAGATGAGAAATATCGAATGAACATGCATGATAAGTGTTGGGTCACCTCAAACCAATTCTCTCACCTGAGAAACTAGCATGCACATACGCACGTGCTATGCTGAAATGTACTGGTGCACCGTCATGCTGGAACCACATTTTCCAGTACATGTCTGCTTCAACAGCTCTAGCAACACTTAGTGGAGTGATCTCAAATAACTTATCGCAAAGAGATGTTTTGGTAACAGATACTATCAATGAAGTAGTCATCGATGATATTCACTGTAGTCTTTGGTAGAAATGTGGAGTACAAATTGTACATTGTACAAATACAATGTGCGTGCTTACAAATGCTGTCGCATGTAAAAGAGATAATCTGTGAACAACACATGCTGGAAGTTCTAGGTCCACACTCTACTGCAAGAAACAGCATTTGAATTCAATATGCACAAGAGTGATAGATGTAGCTGTAGTGCATTGAATAGTCGACAGTGATAGAGTTGGGGTGGTTCATTGCTCAGTATGACCACCCAACGTCCCGCAACCCTACGATGCGACCATGATCGAAGTCGTTTAGTTGTAAGATCTGATATCGTTATAATGGCATCTTTAATTTCTTCTCTATGGAATTACAATGGCAGCAACAAAAAAAGAAATTTTACACCGTTACTGGTTTTATACTTTGCAAATAACGCACTATGATCGCAATTCCTGTTGTGCCGCAAACGGTGACAAGCTAAAGCCGATAATCATTTTTAAACGAAAGACTATTCCAAAGGGAGAGTTTCCTAATGACGTAATTATTTGTGCAAACGAGAACGGCTGGATGTGCGAAACAATCATGCATGAGTGGCTGCAAAAAGTTTTGCAGTGTCGTATGGGATCTTCTTTCCAACCAAAAGGGTTACTGATAATGGATTCCATGCATGCTCATTTACTTGAGTCAGTGAAAACCAGATGTCAAAAATTGTCTACGACCGAAGCAATAATTCCTGGTGGTTTAACAAAAATCTTACAACCATTACATTTATCAGGTAATATATCCTTCAAAAGCTGAAGTCCGAAAGCGGTGGGAGTGTTGGATGCGTGAAGGATTCCATATGTATACCAAAAGCGGTAAAATGCGCAGAGCATCTTATGAAGAAGTTGCAAAGTGGGTAAGAAGTGCGTGGAAATCAGTAAAAACATCATCAATAATAGCAGGGTTCAAAGAAGCTGAAATTATATCCTTAGATAAAGAGAGTGTAAACCAAGAGGATGAATGTGACGATCTGGAAGACTTGACTTAGATCAGGATTTACTAAATCTTTTTAATTCAGATAATGAGGTATCAGATTTTGACGGCTTCATGTGATGTATAGTTTGCTGTAATTCCTTTCGTAAGTAAAATTAAAAATGTCCTTTTGTCATCCAAACTTAATATTTCGTTGTTGCAACATTTTTTATAATATAGTCTGAGTATTACAAATATGGACTTCTTTAGTGGGTAAATATAAGTATATACGTGAACGTAAATATATTTTCCACATTTCTTACCTTTATTTTTTAGTTATGGTTTCATTTCATGCATTTTTGTTAACTGATATGTCATATATCACGACTTAGGTTGAGATTTTGCATCTATAAATTTAATCTATTGCGGCGTTAACGCTGATGCAGCGTTTCTGTGTAATTTTAATTTTTTCCCCGCCATTTTTCTCATGTGCAGCGTTTACGCTGATGCAGCCTTTTTTCCAGAAATCACGGTAGTCAACTTAGTACTTAAGTACTATTGCAATCATCTTAGTGCAATTTAGCGATTTTTACAAATGAAAATGTAAAAGTTACTTAGCGTGTGCAAGTTTGTAGCTTTCATGCCTTCTTTTTAAGAAAGATTCCTAAACTATCAATATTTATAGTAAGTTTGGTAAACAATATCAACATAGGAAGAGAAAACATATTTTAGCAATTTAAAATAAAAATTTGAATTATTAAATAAGAATTATCTCATACATTAAAAAAATAAAACACATTCTTCAAATCTTTGTGTAATTTTTTTTTGGGGGGGGTGGCTCTTATTCTTTTCTCGAAATAAACAGTGATCTGTTTTCACATAAAAAATCATCAGAGAATTGTGGAAATGCGGCTTCGTGTAATCCTTGGCATCAACGGCTATCTAGAAAAAATGTTTCCTGGTTGTTCCCTTTAGAACATTTTCAGCGAAATTCTGATTTAATACCAAAATTTTACCTTAATGCTTTCCAACGCTAGCGAATTCCACAAGCTTATATTTTAAAACTAAATTTAATGCAGAAAATATTATGATTTGTGTATAAAAAACGTCGGAACTTGGACTACAGCAAAGTAGAGCGTATAAAAAAATGGTGGCATTGCTTGATTCATACGATTGTTTATATGCATGGTTGCTGGAAAAATGATTATGCACATAATTGCCAGAGTTTGGCTACTTCTACTAAGTTGGTTACGATAGTATGTAAATACCTTCAATTTTTATATTTTGGCATATTATGTAAAATGGTTAATTAAAGACATATGCTGTACAGGCACATTTTCAAAGTTGTAAAATGCCATTCAGGCATAAATCACTAACAAGTTTTGCTGTAGGTTGGAGTTTATGAATACCTGATGTATCTGTTATGCTGTTGTCTGATTTGTCCATTTGTAATAGTTTACCAGTGGATGAGACTTGGTTATGACAAGCTTGTTTTGAACTGATACATGCTTTCGAAAACAGATTTGATGCATGGGATGATGGTATAGTAGATAATGTTCCAGTGGTTTATTTCTGTTTGATTATTGCATGAATAGCATCTTTACTTCTTCAGAGATAACTGTAGAAGTGTGTTACTGATTTCCTTGGTAAGTTTTTCTACGAAGTCAGGAGGGTATCTATTGTTTGTTGCAGTTTATTTATTTTCATAAAGTTTGGGCATTGGAGAGAATTCTTTAGCTCATCTTAAGTAAAAATAAAAAGCAACTGCTTTATGAGGATAAAATTTAAAACATTTATGTGGGATTATTGTTGGGTTACTAGTTGATTAATAGTAAACTGTACTCATTTCTTGGGATCAAGAAATTGAAGCTGTAGATTTGGAAGTTTTTCTGAGATAAATGAAAAGAGTGCTCCAAGTTTGTCTTTTGCATGTTTCCATAGGTGTCGACATATCTCTTTCAAAAAATTGGTTTTAGGGGGGACTTTTGTGAAATTAAAATTTTCTGCTGGTTGAATATAAATTTCACCTGAAATAGGGGACAATGACACTTCCATAAAGAGACCTTTCTGCTGTCTTTAAGTTTGCCAACTGGCTGTAATCACTATAATGTTATAGATAAAATGGAAGGCTTTGTTGATCTTGCTAATAAATTTGAATGCAATTCTTGGTTTTTCAGTCAAGGCTTTCTTTAAAATTATTTGGGACTAAGGCAAAGATGAAAACAAAGATTTAATATTGATGGTAAACATCTTGACACTAGGATCCATTGCTCTTAGAATTTATGTATAAAACTGACTTGGAGAATGCGCACTTCATTTGTTGTTCTTTGTAAGTGTAGTACGATCTGACAAGCTTTTTCTTAAGGGTAAAAGTTCCATTTTTACTAGAGATCTATCTGGATAATCATCATCTTAATGAGTTTTGATTTATATAAAAATTTTTGGTCTTTTGTAATGTAGATCAAGCTTAATGTTTCCATGATAGTGTTTTATGTAAGAGTAATTAGCAGTTCTGCAAAATGCACTATATGATTTACCAGCATTGGTGCCTTCTCCAACAGTGCATTTAATAATAAATAAGCTGTTTTATCCAACTTGCATAAGATGGTACCGTCCACCATCTCACGGCGCTTGTCCGAGGCAGGGTTACGCTTACAAAGGCCTTTAAGATGTTTGCCTTTGACCCCACAACACCGGCGGAGCCATCTGGAGTGGCATCACAGCCGATAGTCATGGCTGCCATCGTATAGCATTCAGCGATGAATCCCGCTTCACTCTTGAAGCAGATGAGCACCATGTTTGTGTCTGGAGAGGACAGGGCCAGCCGTTCCAATCAGCCTTTGCTTTACAAAGGCATATAACCGTAACCCCTGGTGTGATGGTGTGGGAAGCTATTTCTTATGACAGCAGGTCATCTTTAGTCACCCTCCGTACATCTTCAACAGCTCAACCATATGTTGATACCATCCTGCCGCCAGTTGCATTACCCTTCATGGCACGTCATCCTGGGGCTATTTCCAACAAGATAATGCCAAGCCACATACTGCTTGCATATCTCTGGACTGTCTCCATGTGGTTGATACTCTTCCTTGGCTAGCAAGGTCACCAGACCTTTCCCCAATCGAGTATGTTTGGGACATAGTGGGCTGCCAGATTCAGACAGCACAAAATATCGCAGATCTGGAGCAACAACTGATGAACACCTGGCAGAATGTGTTGCAGGATGACATTAGGAACCTCTGCCACTCCTTACCTCAACGAATTCAAGCATGCATCTTTGCCATGGGGGTTCGACCAACTACTAATTTGAACACTCAATGGGTGATTGTGAGCCGTGAACAGGTATGACCTTGATTTTTTTAATCATTTTATCATCTGTGTATGAGCTATACACATATTCAATTTCATCAAAAACAACCAGTTCCTTCATGGTGCTTCGATTTTTTGCAAAAGAGTGTGTTTGCAATGCCAGAGTTATTGCATACCATAAGCTTCTCTAGAACTATATATTACTAGCAAATTTATCCCTATTACGATAGCTTGATGGCTGGAGAAACTAACATGGTATTAGTGATTTGAATCACAGAAATATGCCTGGCTCTGCAGACCACTTTTCCAATTCCTAACTTAGTTGCCAACCTTTCTTTAGCAATGGTTTTCTTTAGTTTCATCAACAATTCCATAATAGATTTAAGCAAGTCTTGCATTTTTTAAGCCAAGACTAATCAACAAGACCCTATAACTAAAGCTGTATATATTTCAATGATTTATCAAATCACTGGCAAAAGTCAAATTACATTTAGACACATCAAATGAAAAATGGATATGATAAAACAACTGAGCAGTATGGAAGAGCTAAGACACTGCAAATTAGCTTTAGAGCTAAGACAGAATTAACTTGATCTATCAACATCATAATGTAAAAATTAAATATGTTCAGAAAGATTTAAAATGCCAAAAACTTTACGAAAATGCCCAATAATATTCTACAGGCATTAGGTATAAATAAAACACTATTTGAATCAATTCACTAGCTGCACCTCATATTTGACTTTTTGAAATGAGCAACATTATCTAGAAAAACAGAATTTAATTGTTAATGAAAGATTTTGTGAAATTGCAGATTCAGAAACTAGTTAAAAGTCACCAGGCTCTAAAACAATACTGCTGATCAAATCAGCCCTTATTTAAAGTTTAAAACCCAATTAACCTTATAGTAACGGGAAGCATTTCTGCAGAGAATGCAATAAATGTAAACACTGCCCAAAATGGCAATAAGAGTTCAAACCTGCTAATACAATGGATTCGCTTGTTTGGAGATTGTAACCATTCCTCATATATCGTTTTTGGTTCCTTACAATGCTGTTCATAATTCCGCATGCTGTAGCATCACACTCAACCTTCATCTTCGCATAACTAATTTATTCTTCACTTATTTACTATTACTTCATCTGGTTTCCACACTACCTTCTCTAAATTTTTAACACTGAATAGATGGAATTATTTTTGTTTCATTAAGAGGCTGTCAGAAACACAGTTGTCTGTAGTGGTGCACCTTCAAAAGAATTATTGCCTTGACATGGATACACATTTACAACAAGCAAGAGATCACCAAAGATTCTGATACCACTGATTAAGAAGCACGTGGCAAAGAGAATAACTATTATGACTGAAGAACAATAGAAATATTCATTTCTAGGCCAAGCATGGGTATTATATGCATCAGATTGCTAATCAATCTCTAAATTTCATTACTCTAACAACTGGTGCATGTAACTAATCTACTGAATCAAAAAAGTGGCCTCTCAAAATTACGAAAAGTTGGTCTTCTCAAGGAAAATCTAGCTTATCCCCTACTCGAATGCCTATTTCAATGTGAAGTTAAACATAACAGCAAGATCCATTCCAGAAAAGTATGAAGTAAATGCAAAATTATATCCTTTTAAGGTAATATATTACCAGTAATTTCCTTAACAATGCAAGCTTTTGGAAAAAAGTGAGGCCTTTTTCAGGGCTATAAAAATCTGAAAAAAGAAATGAAGTATTGCTGGATATATGTATACAATTTTTTTAAAAATCTTTTATAATAACAGAATTAATTAGAAATCTATTTCAATAATAATACTTTACTCTTTTATGCTTGTTGTTACTTACATATGCTTAAAATCATGCTTTTCTGTACACATGAATTGTACTAATTAGCATATTTAACAACCTATATTTGACTTGCATGTGCTTAACATGTTTAATCGCCTAATTTTTAGCTAAATTTCATATATGCTTAATATCATGCTTAAAACACTAAATTTGACTTATATATAGCTTTATATAATGTTTCATTTAAAAACTTAACAGTATACTGCTAAAACCATTACCATTAATGAGCTTGGCAACAAGAAAATTTACTGTTGCAAACGAGTTCTTTGTAGAAGTAAACCTTTTTAAGGCATCATACAATAAGTAAACATGCATTTACAGAATTCTTAGGCACACAAACATCTACTTTCCATTTTTTACAACACTATAAAAAAATCTCTAGAACAGTCAGCATCTGCTACGTCATTTGCTGGTATAACTGATGAAAATGTACAGTGGTGAAATTTGGTATTTGCTGAGGTTATGTCAAAGAGCCTTTTCCCATACTATACTTTGAAGATATGTTTAAGAATAAAACCTTAAAATACTTTAAGAGAAATTTTATTATAAAACTTCACCGATTACTGAACATCAATATTCAGTATTCAGTAACTGATTTTATATTCATACACATTTCATTATTTCACATATGAATATTGATTATATTATATTCGTGTGAAGATGAAGACATGAACATTCTGTGTGTTAGAGCATGCATTAGTCGGAATAGGTACCTGGCAATTAAACTGTACCTACATATCAGTGACAACGCTGATTTAGAAAGGATTCCACTAGGTGAACATGATAACCTCTTCAAGATTCGCCCATTGATTGACAAGCTGAATGACAAATTTCAACAATTTGGGGTGTTTTCTGAAAGTTTGAGCATTGACGAACAAATGGTTTGTTCCAATGGACATCACTACCTCAAACAATTTATACGTGGTAAGCCAGTGCGGTTTGGGTTCAAACAATGGGCTATCTGCTGTTCACAGACTGGATATTGTTATCAGACTCAAGTGTATGAAGGCAAATCAAAGAAATTAGGAGATGATGAAAGCATCAGTGGGCTTGGGACATTTGTTGTCCTTCAGATGGTATCTATTCTTCAGACACCAAATGCTCATAAAGTTTACTTCGACAATTTTTTCACAGGATTTTCTCTGATGAAACATTTGCAGGACATTGACGTTAGTGCAACAGGAACTGTTCGATTCAACAGAATGAACAAATGCCTTATTGCAACAGACAAAGAGATAAGGAAAAAAGAACGCAGGGCATATGACTACAGATTTGATTCCCGTACTGAAATTTTAGCTGTCACGTGGAATGACAACAGTTGTGTAAGGCTTCTGTCTAATCATGAAACTATCAAACCAATATCAGAGGTGAAGCCATGGAGTAGAACAGAGAAGAAAGATATTCAAGTACCACAACCCAAACTGATATCAGAATATAACAAATGCATGGGTGGAGTAGACAAGATGAACTGGAATGTTAAAAAATACAGAATCAGAATAAGGGGGGGGAAATGGTATTTTCCTTTTCTTACTAATGCCATCGACGTAACACTAGTTAACACCCACGCACTGTATTGTATTTCAAATGATAAAATTCCATTGCTAGATTTTAGGAGGATGGTTGCTAGAGGATATCTTGCTTTATCTTCAGAACTCTCAGATGCAAAAAAAAAAAAAAAAAAAAAAAAAAAAAAAAGGGGGGGATAAAAAGGGGGTAGAAGGAATTCTTTCACTAAAGCATCAATTAATCGTGTTCGTACTGTTATCAGAACATCTGGTAATCATTATATCGAACGGACCAAAAATGGTAAACAAAGAAAATGTGCACTGCGCAAAACAAATGCAAGAAAACAATGTGGAAAATGAAATGTTGGATTACATGTAGACTGCTCTGGACGCTGGCATTAAAAGTAGATAGTATCAACTATGATCCCCATTTGGGAACCGGACTTAAATTTAAAATTTCTGAAAAAAAATTGATGCATTTATGAGAAAAACATGTTTTTCTTATTATTTAGATGAACACCAACAGAAATAAAATAGAAATTTGGCAGTTAATGGATTAATAGTTAAAAATACTTTGCTTCTTTGCGTACCACCTATTTTTTTCTTGTGTACTCCCAGTTTGAGAACCCCTGATTTAGATTTTTAGTATATTCTTTTTCTTCATCAAAATCAGTAAAAATTTAGAGAACTTAAAAAAAAAGTTAAATTACCTTTTCCACTAACTCCGTTCATCTTCTACACCTCATGTGTTCTGTGTTTGCTGCATTTCATATAACCTAGAACAGAAACTATTTTATAATCTTTAATACTTAGTTTATATGAAGAACAATGGACGGGTGAAAAAATCTAATTAGTTGAAAACACAAACAAAAAAATTTTAAATGAACGAATTTTTTTACCTCAATGTACAAGATGTGCAAAAATGTAGAAATGAAACAAAAGGGTTTCACTACATTTCCTTTAATGAATTTCATGGTGGTACCGTGTGATAATTCAAGACTGAAAACTAAAAATTTCTGAGAATTGAAATTTTTTTTGCCAGGGTGCCACTCAAAAAGGAGAATGAAATTCTCTGCCTTTTCCAGGTTTACCAGGCACGTTTTAAGAAAATTCTAGTCTAGCCGCGTAGTGCACATTTGCTGTGCTGAGAGGTAAGTCAATTATGGTACAACTTGAAACACAAAAATTTGCCAATTACATACAACTTATTCCCAAAGCATTACTACTAAAACTATAATAGGAGTTGTTTTCTCCACTTAAGATTGGGATTAGAATTTGCCCAATCTGGATTAAAAAACATCTTTTTTTTGCAGACGTTTTGCAGCTAAACAAAAGAAAGAAATCTATTTAATGATATTTTAAAATAAATTCCAGTATGTTATATTTATTTAGCAGCATACATAAGCAAAAAATATGTATATTAAATTTTGTGATGGTATGTCATCATACTGATAGAATTAGTTTCAGAAGTATGCCAGAGAAAACTGTCTGAAATTTAAAAATATTATTAACTAATAATAAATAAATTTAGAAGGAATAAGCCACATTAAATGATACAAATAACATTAAAATAAAGTTAATTACTTAAAGATTAAAAATTGAATTACAATAATCGATATTTTGGCAAATATTAAATTAATGAGCATTAAATGATTAGTCTAGATGACTAGTTACTATTTTTTTTTTATTTTACTGCAAAATGACAATTAAGGCATTTATTAAAAAGAAAAAAAAAGGGGGGGTTCAAAGATTTTTGTGGTAAAATCCTAGTATACGGTATGGCCTTGGCATGATTTCGAAAATTGTCGCTAACACCAGAATGATCTGTTTACTGCTCCTCATAATGTCACCGAATTCCATGCATACCGTATACTAGGATTAAACCGATTTTGTTTTATATGAGACTGGGAAGGCATTTTCTTTTGTTCAACATGCACAGCACATGCACATCTCTCGATTCTCGAGGTTACTGGAAACCAAAGTTGTTGGAAAGTTGGTTTGCCTTTTAAAAGACAATCTGACTGCAGCTGCGAAAATTGCCTCTTTGCTAGCTGCCCAAATGAAGCTCACATGATACATAATTTACCAAGAAAATGATCGCTTCCAACGTTTGCGTAAAAATTACTTTTTTTGGGTAATTCTCAGACTTTTCCAGATTTTGACAAAAATATTAAAATTCCTTGCCTTTTCCCTGATGTTTTTAGTCAATTTTTTAATTCCCTGATTTTCCCCGGGTTTTCAGGTTTTCCAGGTACAGTGGCAACCCTGTAAATAGGAAAAATAATACAGTAAAAAGTCTGTGATCCAGATGTCCGATATCCTGAATAATCTAAAATCCAGTATTTTGGAGACATTCCGATATTTTGGAGTTTCGAGAAGGGGGGGAGAGAAATGAAAAATTACAATTATGAAAGTGAATTATAAAAGTTCAATGAATTACTTTTTTTGCAAAATTAATAACCATAAATTTTCAAACATATAAACTACTACATTTTATGTAAATATTTTAAATTACCTGAATTAATTCTTTAAAAAATTATCTAATTTCTGCTGCTTTTTTTTATTTTCTGATGTTTGTGGGCTTGTCTTTCTTTTGTGGTGAACTTCATAATTGCAGGAAGGTTGACTTATATTATATAAATATTTTCCTCATTTACAGTTGAAGAAATTTCCTCGAGAACTGCACATGCAGAGGTAGAAGCAATTTGCTTTTCTAATGTAGAAGGTTTTTCAGAGACTTTTATAGGTGATTCATCTGAAATACATGTTTTTAAGTCCTCTTGATATGTTTTCCAACTTCTGTTCATATTCAGTAAGAGATCTTTGTGAATTGGATCAGTCATTGGATTTTTTGAGCCATATTTTTCACATGAGGTTTCTTTAGAAGCCATTATATCATATTTAATAGTCTGCACTGCATCTAGGGAATCAATCTTAAGAGAGGTTCTATAGTCAGTGACAAGTGTATTCATTAAGTTGAATGCACTTTCCACTAATGGGCCATGGAAGCAGCTAAGGCAGGCTTTGACCAATTTAGCCAATGTAGGATACTTAGAATCATCTGTGAAATCATCTTTTAAATTAAAAACTTTAGACCAATATTTATCAATTGTACACTTGACTTGATTTCCACTTTCATCAGATGTGTAGAGCATTTCTTTGGTGATATCAATATCACTCTGGTATAACCTTATTTCAGCTTCTACTTTTGACTTTTCATTATCACTAAAAATATGGGACATAAAAGATGATAATTTTTCAAAAGCTAATATTGTACTGGTTTTACCTCTTAGCTCTGGATCTAATGCTGTTAAAACTAATTAGATGAATTTTTAAGGGGTAATTTTGTTTCATATGCTGTGCTGTATAGTATAAGCTTTCATCAGAGAATTTGGAATTCTTTTGCTATTGGATGATTTTTTGATAATTTCTTCAGGAGAGTGGAAGCTTCTGCACCAGTTAAATATTACTTTGCTAGGTAGATGGAATTCTAGATTTGTGACATCAACCTTTAATAAATCATTATAAGATGTGCACTCTATATTTTCTGGCTTCATAAAGAAAGAGAAAAATTTTGCCATCAATTTATAAATACTGGAATGTATTAAATGAAGCATTGGTTTTTTTGTTTCAAATAATTTAATATATGTGTTGAACTCTGGTAATACTGCTGAATATAATGCCATATGCAATAAAGTTTTGTTTTGCATAACAAATAACCCAGCTTTTTCCGAGCTAAAGCATCCTTTGCGAGTTGTTCGGAATGCAAGCAAGAATACATCCCTTCAACAATTTTTTTCTGAGCTGCAGAAATATTTCTTTTATTGTATACAGTTTCAACATAAGAAAAATAATCCCCTTTATCAGTTTTATCCAAGTAGTGAAAATAAAATGCAATAAGAGCATCCCACAGATCTTTGATTCTTTCTAAAACACATAAAATGTACGCCCACCTATGGTCTGGTCTCTTCAAGGGCTTAAGTTTTTTAATGGCAAGGGATTCACAGATTTTGAAAAAATTTTCTCTTTTACTGCAGCTTTTCATATCAAAATAGATGTCATCAAACAATTCTTCTAAGTATCTATCAAAACATGAAGCAATTTTTTTTGCATAGTTATTAGCTGTGTGACATGTGTCACCATCAATATCTAATAAGTGGGGTGCTTTGTTTGATCGTAGTCTGGTTTCAACACCCTTTTTTTTTTTTTCCATGCATGGTGTTACATGAGTCCATTAATACACTAATCAAGTTTGCCCATGGAATATTATCTTCAATAGTATTAACAACTGCTTTAAAAACAGCTTCTGAATTGCAAGATTCCATCTTTAGAGATGCAAAATTATGAACTACAACTTCATTTTGATTGTTGTCATAAAACTGCACCAATATTGCCAGTATACTTTCTTGAGCATTGCTAGTACTTTCATCCAAATTTAGAGAAAATGGAGTCTCCTTTAAAGTTTTAATGATATTTTCCTTAATAGTTTTTGTGAGCCCATATTTTATCTTATAACATGCAGTAGTCTTGGACATTTCCAACGAGTTTAGTGCCGTCTGATCGCGGCTCAACGGTTTGCAGAGTTCAATTAAATTGGGAGCTACATTGAAAGAAAGAGAATTCTCGGCGATAAACAAAGTTATTAATACCCCTTGGCGTGCTTTTCTTATCACTATATCCAATGGCCGAGCATCAGTCTCCAGTAAGTCATCAGTATTTTTTGAATTAGCATAATTACTTAAAGTCATTGAATGTCTAATGCACTTTATATATTTTATGTGTGTCACAGTTTTAGAATGATTTGTGAAAGCCTTGAATCCTTCCCCACCATACTTCAGCAGTGAGTTACAAAAAACACAATATGCTTGTCCAGCAACATTTATTTTCTTGCACCATGTGCCGATGGTATCCCCATTACCATCTCTCCGTTCAATCCAATTCCACCTAAATGCATTCCGGACACCTTCTTCTAATTGTATAATATCACTATTTATATCGAGAAATTTCATAGTGAAATTCTCTTGCGTACATAAATAAAAAATATTTCAATAAATGAAACGAAAATTTTACGCAGCGGAGAAAAAGAAGTTGAGAAGCGATCAATGACAAATAGCTAATACAGCAAAAAATCCCCCTTCTCTACTTATTGGCGCCACGCCAGGAGAGATAAGACCTTAAACCCAGAGTCACGTGATCGCACATCTGGTTGAACGAAGTCTTTCCCTTTTTTTCCTGCCGCGCCTACTTGCCGAAAAGAATCCAGAAGAGAATGTCCGAGAACCGGGGGAATGAGTCATAACTCGCAATAAGGAAAGAACAAAAAAGAAGTTTTTTCCTCCTTTTCACGCATTATCACTGCCTTTGGAGAAAGAAAGGAAAAGTTTTCACCACACACACTGACCTTGCGTTTTCTGCTTTCAAAGCAAACAAAATTACCCAGATCAAAATAAATAATTCATTATTATTCCTATTTCCTTTTGAATGACGATCCCGGAATTTCCGGGTATCAAAGTTCAAAATCCCCGGAATTCCGGGGTTTCCCCTGAGCACAAACACCCCTGGTATGCCATACGCATGCACATTTGATTCCCTCATAATAAAACATGTGGAGAGTCTCGATTCTTAATTTCACTTTGGCATTAAATAAAATACCTTATTATTGAAGAAACAATCATTTTATCATAAATTTGTGTAATCAATAATTTGACTCCATAGCTGCATATCTGCTTGGCATACATCTCAAACTGAAACAGTTTACATAGAAAGATCATTTATT